AATGAACACATTTTATACATTTTATAGCAGAAGCAAAGATGTAAAACGAGGAACTGGATGCTGGTTAAGCCTAGAGCTGAAAACTTCACAAGTGCACTTAGCCTAGCATATCAAGATCAGGACGATGTAGCTTTTGCATTAACCGAGCAAAAAGGCTGACCATAATCACGGAGTGGTATCCATAAAGTCCAAATTTCGGATGTGCCGTTCAGCCGTACGTGTTTTCAGCCTCTGAAGCAGGAGCCATGCATCAGCAGTCGAACAACCTTCGTTCATCTCACGCACGATAGGTCGAGAAGATTGTCCGTTGTACTCAATAAGCATTGTACCCTACAATTGATGGGGGAAAACATACACACCTTCAAGATTTAAGATGTTATAAATAAAAAACGAGGAACTAAAATCATATGAAATGAATTTGGATTTTTCAAAGTAATCCAAATGGTCCATGCGCTGAAGGGTCTGAACATACTTCTTCCCTAATTATGAATACAAGGTAGTAGCACACTATTTGAAGTGTTTGCCACCAATATATATAGAGGAATAGCTTCAAAGAAAACCTGCAATTACTACCAGTACAATATGAAGAGGCAACTGACCAAATGACAGTAGTAGTATTGGCTTATGCAGTAACTGCAGCACTAGCAAGATGTTCTGGTAAGCTTCATGCACTAGCCAACGCAACCAAAAGTCCGAACTGATGGAAAGGGGTAGGCAATCCACATATTCAACAGTTCTAAAACATCAACCGAAGTCCAGCTACAAACATGAACGGTAAGTGCGCAGATATTATATAGCACAACTAGCAGGCTGAATTGCTATGTACTAGCCTAACTTGATTTAAAAGTTATGGGGCTTATTTAGCTTAAGGGCTTATCGACTGGAATTGTCAAAATAACTAAGGCTTATCTAAAGCAAGCTCAAACAGTTGAAGGCTATAAGCCTCACAAAATTCAGCTTGTAGACCAAAGTGTTGCCAAAAAGGATCTCTGGTGACATTTCACTCCCCTCTGGGGCTGACTTGGACGCACGAAGGGGCTTAGGTTCACTAAGACTTAAGGTTCATCGCTTAAAAGCTAACAAATTTTTTTTACAACATTCACACAGTATACATTTGGCATGCCATGAAATATCAGGTGAAAATTTGATCGACACTATTAATTAAGTGACAAAAGATATTCGACTCGGAAATGTAAATGTTGTCAAACTAGGAGCATACTTATAAGACATTCGACCTAAAATCTCTTGTGCGTATAAGACATTGCCATCCCCTTGACATTGTAAAATGGTCTGCAAAAGTCTCAAATAGATTTTTGTTTACATTTTACTTTATTTCTATCTGCTACAGCATACTTATATTAATCGGGAGGGCCCTGTTTGTCCTAGCTATAAGTCAGACAACAGATGCACAGGCGATTGAAACTAATATTATTACAGTCATGCCAGTAAGAAAGGACCATAAGGCAAATGTATTGATAAAGATACATATTCAGTTTCATGAGAGGGAAAGAGGGAGGGGGGACCTCAAATTTCTCCAAATAATGCTGAAATCCACTCAGAATTTGTTTCATAGCGATGTACGATTCTGAGGTTGGATCAGAGACGGCAGTTGAAACCTCCTCACATGAGTGACCAATTATGTTACGTACAATCTGTGTAATGTGTTATGATAAGGTTGTGATCTTGAGTAAACATGCTAGGAAACTATTAATAAAACAGATATACTCACAGCACAGTCAACAAAGGCCTCTGAAATTTGACTTCCATCATCTATGTACACAAGAAGCTCGTACTCTCTGCGATTTCTAAATTGAAATCGTTTGACAGAGGTAATCAAACCCTGTAGCAGTTATGTCACCAATCAACGTTTGCATTTTGCACAAATGACTGAAAGTAAATATACATGTAAGAAAATCTTCCAGCACTCTTGAACTCATGGAAAAACATTTTGATCAAACAAGCAATGTGAAATGGACACAGTTCTATTAAAAAATTTGTAGACAAAAGGTTTGAAAGGATAGCTAAATCTGCAAGTAGAAAATCCAATCTGGAAATGACAGAAAATAAATATACATGTAGGAAAATCTACCGCCAGTCTTAAACTCGTTGAAAAAGCATTTTGATCAAACAGGAAATATGAAATGGACACAGTTCTATGTAAAAAAATGTAGACAAAAAGGCTGGAGGTCAAGGACAGCTAAATCTGCAAATAAAAGGTACTCCCTCCGTTCCAAAATAGATGACCCAACTTTATACTAAAGTTAGTACAAAGTTGAGTCATCTATTTTGGAACGGAGGGAGTACTAAGTAGTAAACGAACCTTAATTTTTCCTTGAATGTAGGGTCTTGTATCCTTTTCTATGGTCCAATGTGCCATCAAGTTGAAAATGTATATGAAAGGTTTTTCATTTTCACCACTTAGAATGACTGGATGTTCCATCTGACCAGTATTATCATCAACAGTTGAAGGCCGTGCAGCCTCCACACCATTGGCACCAGTTGCACCAATGTCATGTGCCCTTTGTTGGGAATCATACCCACCACAAGGAGTAGATGTAGAAGGCTCTCCTCTGCTCCTAGTAAAAGCAGTAGCTTGGTCCTGCATGGTGATTTCTTGGACACGTTGTATTTGCTCGTCAACATTGTTCGCCACAATAGGATGGTCAATATATTCGTCTACTAAAGTTCGTGCAATTCTACTAGTGCTTTGTTGGGGTTCATGTCTATAGGTAACAGGTGCAGAAGCCTCTGCGTTGTTCCCAATAAGAGAAGTAGATCGGTCCTGCATAGGGTTTTCTTGAA